TTTTTAGATACAACATTGAAAACATAATCCCTAAAATTAAAAAAATTGATTAAAAAAATCGACAAAGAGGTTGGGCATGGTGGCTCAACCTGTTTCTCTTGGGCTCAAAGGATCTGCTCACCTCAGGCTCCCAAAGTGTAATCCCAGCATTTTGGGAGCCTGAGGCAGGCAGATTCCTTGAGTCCAAGGGTTTGAGACCAGCCTGGGCAACTTAGGAAGACCCTGTCTGTATTTTTTTAAAAAACAAAAAACAAAAAAACAAAACTCAATAAGAACATAAAAAATGAAGAAAGCATCTGACCAGACACCCTACCAAAGATACACCACTGGCAAGTAAGCAGATGGAACAAGGCTCAGGGAATAGGGAATTGCAAACGAAGACACCTACAAGACACCAGCACCGCTTTTTAAGTGGCTGAAATCCAGAACATTGACAATATCAACAATATCAGTTTCTGGCTGGGATGCAGAGTGATGGGCACTCCCTGTCATTGCTGGTGAGGGTGCAAAGTGGTGTGGCCGCCGCGTATTGGGGGAAATTTGCCCCTGATAATTCACGTAGGTTCTTTCCTATTTTCCTAAGTGTCAGCTGGTCTGAGAAATAAAGGGAAAGAGTACGAAAGAGAAATTTTAAAGCTGGCTGTCTGGGGGAGACATCACGTGTTGGCAGGTTCCGTGATGCCCCCCTGCCATAAAACCAGCAAGTTTTTATTGGTGATTTTCAAAAGGGAGGGAGTGTACGAATAGGGTGTGGGTCACAGAGATCACATGCTGCAAGGGCGACAAAAGATCACAAGGCAGGAGGTCAGGGCGAGATCACAAGGTCAGGGTGAAACTAGAATCACTAATGAACTTCCATGTCCAGTTGTGAACACATTGTCATTGATAAACAAGGTTCAAAGGCAGAAAACTGGCCTCACTAGAATTCGCCAGGTGGGAATTTCCTAATGCTAGCAAGCCTGGGGGTGCTGCAGGAGACTAAGGTGTGTTTCATCCCTATCTACGTCTGCATAAGGCAGACACCCCCAGAGTGGCCATTTCAGAGGCCTCCCCTAGGAATGTATTCTTTTCCCAGGGCTGTTAATTATTAATATTCCTTGCTGGGGAAAGCATTCAGTGATATTTGTCTTACCCATTTTTGGTTATAAGAGAAATATGGCTCTGTCCTGCTCGCCCACAGGCAGCCAGACTTTAAGGTTATCTCCCTTGTTCCCTGAACATCACTGTTACCCTGTTCTTAAGGTGCCAGATTTTGTATTGTTCAAATACACATGCTCTACAATTTGTGCAGTTAACACAGTCATCACAGGCTCCTGAGGTGACATTCATCCTCAGCTTATGAAGATAACAGAGATTAAAGTAAAGACAGGCATAGGAAATCACAAGAGTATTGATTATGGGGAAGGGATAAATATCCATGAAATCTCCACAATTTATGTTCTTCTGCCATGGCTTCAGCTGGTCCCTCCGTTCGGGGTCCCTGACTTCCTGCAACAGCCATGGAAGACAGGTGTGAAGTTTCTCACACAGCTATACAGAGGCTTCCCGGCAGCTCTGGCAATTGTGCTCCATGGCATTTAACCAGAGGGGTTGAAGACTGACGTCCACATAAGAACCTGAATGTGGACATTTACCGTAGCTTCATTCATAATTGCGGTTGCTTGGAAGCAACAAGATGTCTTTTGATAAGTGAGTGGATAAACAAATAGTGCTACATGAAGATGGTGGAATATTATTCAGGGATAAAAAGAGATAAGGTAACTAACCATGAGAAGACATGGAGGAACTGTAAATGCACATCGCTAAGTGAAAGAAGCTAATCTGAAAATGCTCCACACTGTGTGTTTCCAACCACAGGTCATTCTGGAAAAAGGAAAACTGGAGTCAGGGGAAGAATCAGTGGTTGCTGGGGTTCAAGGGGAGGGAGGGATGACAAGGGAGAGCACAGGGGATTTCTCTCCAGCCGTGAAAGTATTCCACTAGACACAGCAGCGATGGCACTGGACACTGTGCATTTATCAAAACCCACGGAACTTTAAGGCACAAAGAGTGAATTTTTTTTTTCCATTCTTCTTTTTGAAATGGAGTCTCTCTCTGTCACCCAGGCTAGAGTGAGGTGGCGTGATCTTGGCCCACTGCAACTTCTGTCTCCCCAGTTCAAGCGATTCTCCTGCCTCAGCCCCCCGAGTAGCTGGGGTTACAGGTGCCCAACACCACGCCTGACTAATTTTTGTATTTTTAGTAGAGACAGTGTTTCACCATGTTGGCCAGGCTGGTCTCGAACTCCTGACCTCAGGTGATCTGCCCGCCTCAGCTTCCCAAAGTGCTGGGATCACAGGCATGAACCACTGTGCCTGGCCTGCCATTATTCTTACGATATGGAAAAATATGGATTCTGGCTGCTTTGGTTTTTATGCGTTGCCCCATGCCCCTGACCGTTTGCCTGGCCAGCCTGGCTGCCTGCCCCGTGCCTTTCCCTTGTACAGGTGGTGCTGGGCCACTTGCCTGCATGTTCTCAAGGTCCCCTGCCCTGCCCTGTCGCCCTGTTGGAGGCTCAGCCCCCGGTCTGATCACTGCCTGTGGGGAACACAGATGGCTCAGGTTCCCCAGGTAACAGGGGGGGCCCCACTGCCCTGGAGAGACTAGAACAGTGGCTCAGAATTTTCTCAGGTCAGAAGGACACGGAAACTGAGGGCCAGGAGAGAAGCAGTGGTGCGGGAAGGCACGCACCGCCCTCCTCATCCACCCTGACTGTCCCTTCTGTGACCACTTCCCAGTCTCACGTGCTCACCCTCAGCAAGCGTTTATTTACCACTCGAGGAGTCTTTTCTCATTAATCTCTGAAGCATTCAGTCATCTTCATCTTTCCTTCCTTCATCCTCTTTTTAAAAAATCCATTTATTCAGACAAACTGTGGTGGCACACACCTGTAATCCCAGCATTTTGGGAGGTCGAGGCAGGAGGATCACTTGAGGCCAGGAGTTCAAGACCAGCCTGAGCAATATAGTGAGACTCTGTTTCCACAAAACATAAAAATGAGCTGGAGTGGTGGCACGCGCCTATGGTCCTAGCTACTCAGGAGGGTGATGTGGGAGGATCGCTTGAGCCTGGGAAGTCAAGGCTGCACTGAGCTAGGATTGTGCCACTGCACTCCAACCTGGGCAACAGAGCAAGACCTTGTCTCAGATAATAATTTTTAAAAAATCAATGTATTATGCAATGTTTCTGAGTTCCAGCTGAGCAGGCGCCCTGAAGGAATTGTGGTTCCCGTCCTCCTGTCCAGAGAGGCCAAAGCCCCCAGCTCTCAAAGGCACAAGGGTGGCTGGTCCAGTGGCTGTGGGGAGGTGGGCCATAGGCCCCTGTCCCCAGCACAGGTGCCCAGATTAGATTCACACATATTTCCTAGGAAAATGCATCGGGGAAGACCTGCACCGCCACTCTCACTGCGGCCAGATCACTTCCCAGTACCTTCCTGTGCAGAAAAACAGAAGCTTTCGGGCCAGGGTCCTGGGGAATCTCCTCCCAGCACTGGTCTTGCTGGCTGCCCCAAGGCGTCGGATGCCAGATTCCTGACCTTATGAGGAGCACCAGGCGTCCTGCCCTGAGGATCTGCCCTAGCCGGCAGGGTTGGAATTCAGCTGATAATTCATACTGCAAGAGGAGGGGAGCAGGTCCTGCTCTGCCTGGGAACCCGAGGACCCTTCTCTGGAGAGCCTGCAGCCTGCCGAGGACAGGGGGATCCAGGACCTCTACCTGAGGGGGCTGCCATGGCCACCTGGGTCCACAGGGGCAACATTGACTGGCTGGAGGACAGCGGGGGGTATAGTGCACAGGCGCAGGGGTGCAGGCTGCAGGGGTGCTGTGAAGACCTGCCCTCGGGCAGCAGGCGGCAGACCCAGCATTGTCCTTCATCTGGGGCTTTGCTACCTGGTGAGGCCACCTCCTTCCCGATGCAGAAGGCCTCCTTCTCAGCCACCCCTGCCCCAGGACAGCTCCAGGATGTCCCATGGTGCCCTGCTTAGCCTGGCCAGTCCTGAACTCGGCATTGGTCCCCTCTGCCCCAGCCTGCCCATTACCCGTGCCTCACCTGGCAGCCCTCCCATTCCTACCCTCCCCTTGCTGGCACTGTCCATCAAGTCTGACCTTCTGTTATCCTACAGCTGCTCAGGCGGGCACCAACCCTGGTCACATGCCACGAACCCCTTTCTCCCAGGCTCCCCACCTCCACTCAGGGGCCCAGCCCTTCCTAGGATCCAGCCCCGAGCCTGTGACCCTTTTTGCTTACCACTGCTGGGCCCTGGCTGCAGGGACAGTCCCTATCCTCAACCTCCCAGCTGGAAGGTTTTGCAAATCTGGCTGCTCCAGTGGCCGCGGCGTACCAACCCACAGAGCCCTTTGCTGAGGACTGGGCAGGGCGGGTGGACAGGAGGAAGGAGCAGGAAAGAATGAAGCACCATGGAGCGTGAGAGTTTGTGTCTCAAGAGGTGGTCGTGGTCCCAATCATGCAGGTGGGGGCACCCACAGTGTTATCCTTCCTGGAGTTTCCCTTGGGCAGAGGAGGCCCAGCTGTGGCGCACCCGGGCTCTCCTGCCTCGAGGGTCCTGGACAGCATTCAGGGCAAGGGGGCCTCATGCAAGGGCCATCGCCCACCAGAGGCACCGTCCTTCCCATCACCCAACACCAGAGGTGCCGTCCAGCCCCCACCACCCACACGGAGGCACAGTCGCCCCATCACCAACACCAGAGGCACCGATCTTCCCATCACCCAACACCAGAGAGGCCACACGGTCCTTCCCCATCACCCTTTCCCACCACAGGCACCGTCCTTCCATCACCCAACACAGAGGTGCCGTCCTTCCCACCACCCACACCGGAGGCACCGTCCTTCCCCATCACCCCAACACACCAGAGCCGTCCTTCCCCATCACCCAACACCAGAGGCTTCCGTCAACTTCCCACCACACACTGGAGAGTACCGTCCCTTCCCCAGAGGAGGCACCGTCCTTCCCCATCACCCAACACCAGAGGCACCGTCCTTCCCACCACCCACACTGGAGGTACCGTCCTTCCCCAGGAGGAGCAGTTGCTGAATCCACAGGGTTCCCCAGCAAAGGGGCCCCTGTGGGGGAGAAGCGAGGTGGCTACATCCAGGGTGGAGGCAATGGCACCTTCCCCACCACCTCAGAGAGGGAGGGTCCCCCCCCAGTGTCCCAGAAGAGGCAGACACAGGATGGCAGTGGGAGGCAGGAGACAGGAGGGGCCAGCAGGGCCAGGAGGGGGTGTAGAGGGAGGGCCCTCACAACAGGGCCCTGAGGAGGCCGAGGCCCACCTGGAGCAGGAGCCCCCCTTGCAGGGCCCAGCGCCCCTCCTGTGGGGTTGGTGCCCTGTTGCAGAGAGCCCCGGAACAGCAGCGCCTAGTTATCACGCCTTGCACCGTGGGGGCTGGTGTCCATTCGAACTTCGTGTTGGTGTTGGGACATCTGGGAGCACAGCGTTTGCTGAGCAGGGTGTGTACGCTCCATTCTGCAGAAAAGAGGAGAGGCAGGTGGCCCCAGAGCCCCCAGCAAGGAAGTATCCACAGTTATCAGGAAAATGCAAGGATGCTTTCCAAAGGGGCAGCTGGGACCCAGAAGAACTAGAGCAAGGAATCTGGCCCTATGAGGGGGACCAAGAGACCACCGTCTCCTGTCCTTTCCTGGGCAAGGCGCTGCAGAGCTGGGGAGCCTGGCTGCCCAGGCCACCTCCACCCCGCAGCACAGCAAATACAGACTCCAGGGCAACTGGCTGTAAGGGGCTTTCCCTGGAAGCCAGGTACAGCCTGGACCACCCCTGCCAGCCCGGGGGCGCGTGCGTCGTGGGGAGAAGGGGTGACTCAGAGCAGTGGAAAGGGGCTGCTCATCACAGAAAACCTGCTGGGCTGGGTGCCCAGCCCTGGGCTCGTTGCTCTGTGCTGCTCACTTAAAGACATGGCAGAGACTTTCTGATGGACACGTGTCTGTCAACAACCACGGAACCCCTGAAGGGATGCACAACACTCAAAATCCAAATGGTGGAGAAAAGAGCTTGGGTGGAATCTCCTTTATGTGTCATAGTGTGTTATGGTGTGTTGTGTTGCATTCTATTTTATTATATTATGTTGTATTGTATTATCTTATATTAAGTTGCAGTATACACGTTATATTCATTACGTTGTGTTATACTCTATGACACTGTCATACACTGTATTAGATTCCAGTGCAGCCTGCCCCATGCTGGGCTGTATGGCGGGCCTACTGTGCTGTGCTAGGAAGGGCGGATAACCCATCCACCCCAACAGCTGCGTCTCCCCACCCCTGTGTGTTCCTGCTGTCTTCCTAACTTCAGTGACATCAGAGCCTTTGTCCTGCTGACAGTTCCTAGAGACACTTCAAATGGAGGAGAAAAAGAAAATTCACACTCTGGGATGCTCGCCCCAACCCAGTGCGGGAGAGAGAGCAGGAGGCACCGTCGGACCCGCATGGACCCAGGCCCTGGAGCGCCGAGGACGCATCAGCTGAGTTGCTGAGAGGCGGGGCACCCGGCAACTGCCCTCTGCCCCAGGCGGGACTCACCAAAAGAGACGACAACCTCGTTGGAGATGCAGACTTGGTCCAGCGGGCTGCACGCCGTGGGCGGGCACTGCCTCCAGCTGCTCACCTTGAAGCACTGGTAGCAGCTCAGGTTCCGAGCTGTGGGCAGCAAGCGGGCCGCGGTGGACCAGGGTCCGCAGCCCCAGCCCCAGCCCCAATGCCCCGAGCCCTGTCAGGGCCGCTCCTTACCTGGCATCGTGGCGCAGACAGCAGACGCGGCAGCCAGCGGGAGGGCACACAGGGCTAGGACGAGCCCCTCCATGACGCCAAAGGGCTCAGCCTGAGTGGGGTGAGGTGGGTGTTGCGGGGGACTTCGCCCAGAGAGCCCCCTCCCCAGCTTCCTGCTCCCTAACCGGGCTTCACTCAGGGCGCAGCCCCCATCCCACCCCAGCCTCCTGCGTTCCTGGACGCGGCATCACCCAGGACGCCCCCCACCCCCAACCTCCTGCACTCCTTGGCGGGGCTTCACCGAGGGCGTCCCCCACCCCCAGCGTCCTGCTCCCGCGCTCGCTCTCCTCCCTTCCCCGCATCCCCTCTCCCTGGGCCCTCTGCCTTTGGTCCCCCTTCCAATCTCTCTTTCTAAACTCCTCGGAGCCCCATTCTCACCCGACCCTCATCCCAGCCCCCGGCCCACAGTCCGGACCCCTCTCCAGGCACCTTCTCTCCTGCCGGGCTGCGGGGATCTGCGCCCTGGAGGAGGAGTCAGCCCCGGGACCGAGGGGCTGGACCGGCCAGCCCCTCCTCTGGTCTCTTGCACTGGGGCGGCTCCCGGGGTTCCCGAGGGCCTCAGCGTCTGCCTGCAGCCGCCTCCTGCGGAAAATAGCCCGAGACCCGGGAGGAGGGGGACGCCTGCAGGTCCCCCCAACGCCAGCCTCAACCCCAATCACAGACCCTGTGTAGGGAACGTCGGGCCAGATTTGGTTCCTGACTCGGGGACCCACGGAGGCTGAGGGAGACCCAGAGGGCGCGGAGGGCGGGACGACCCTTTCTCTGGGGTGGGGCGGGAGTGGTCTGGATTTGGCAGCAGACGGGGGAGGGAGGAGGCTTCAAGGCGGAGGAGGAGGAAGAGGGAGGAGGCGGAGTAGGGACCCTGGGGCGCAGGTGAGGTTTGGACAACCTGAGATGGAACGGGAGGCGGCCAGGCAGATCCAGGAAGGAGCATAGTTAAGGGCAAATGAGGTCGGCGGGGATGGTTAGGCCACAGGCACAGAATCTTCGTTCTTTCTAGAGGGCTTGGAGGTGTTCCCCTGGCAGAGGTGGCTTGGGAGGAGGGGAGAAGGGAGGAGAAGGGCAGACGCCTCCAGGGGCCCCTCGGGCGCGTTCAGTGGCTCAGAGAAAAGCAGGGCGTAGCCTTACAGGAGCCTGGAGCTGCCGCAGGGGTTGGAGGCTGCTGCTCCAGAACCCTTGCTAAGTTTCTGGGACCTGCAGGGGGCTGAGTCCGGGCCTTTGAAGACTGGTGCCCTGGAAGAACGGCTCCTGCGCAGGCTGCCTCCCAGCTCTGTCCTCCCACATTTCCACCTCTCACAGGTGAGGCTGGGGCCCAGCCGGGTCTGTCCAGCCGGGTGCTTAAGTGTCCCTGGGCCCCTCGGAGGCTGTGGTTCCAATTTCTTTTGCAGCATCTGCCCGGCCCCATGTAGGTCCTGGATGCAGAGTGTCAGGCCGCCCCCGTCACAGCGCAGACCTGCCCCCTCCCCACTAAACTCATCTGCCTCCTACACGGAGTCTTCCCTTTGTCCTGTTGTTTATTCTGTTGTTGTTGTTGTTTATTTTTTTTATCCCCGGGAGCCAAGGGAGTTGACCCATGTTCTCACTGGGCCACTGGAACCCAACAGCGTGGACATCCCTGTTGGGCACCCAGCTCTCCCCTCCAGAGGCACTGTCACACCCTCCCCCACCTCACCAGGGGCACAGGGCCCTGCTGGACCCAGGCGACGTCAGGAAATGCTGTCCTCAGTCTGGAGGACCACCGACCCACTTTCCTCCACGGAGCCCCTCCCTGGGACCTCAGTGTGTCGAAGCTGTCTCACTAAGGGGCAGCCCCAGGCTCTTCCCTCCAGCCCAGGTGGTCACACAGTTTTCACTCTGTGTCAGGTTCACTCTTTTCTCCTTCCTGCCTTCATTTCCTGAATCACATCCTTTTGAGCATGTGTGATGACAAGGCAGGGCTGGACCGTGGGTCTGTGGCAGTGAACCGGCCCAGTCACCTGCCCTAAGGGGTCTTGCAGGAGGTAAGTGGCAGAAAGAAGAAAGGGGTAACTGCTACCCATAAGGTGGTTGGGAAGGGCTGCCCCTGGCCCCAGCGTGACTGCTGCCCACCACCTCCAGGGGCCTCCGCATCCTCTCCTGCACTGCAGCCCAGCAAGCCCCTCCCCTGCTGTGGCTTCCGGGTAACAGCTGCTGGGAGAGAAGGTGCCGACCCGGCCCAAGAGTGAGTGTGCCCAAGAGTGAGTGTGCAGGCAGGTGGCGCCATTTCCCCTGCGTCCACGCAGTGGCCCACCCAGCAGGACTGTCCCGTTCCTGTTTCCCCTGGTGCGTGCTCTAGGGATGCCCCAGATGGGCCCTGCCCTCTGACCCCTGCCTGACCAGGCTCAGTGTCCTCTGCTCCCTTTGTCCTCCGATGCTCCAGCCCTTTCTGCCACCCAGCCTGTGTGTGGGTCGGGGCTGTTTTGGGGGTGGGTTTAGAGGGCACGGGATGGAAGTCGTTTGGAGGGGAGGGGCCGTATGCCCTTTGTTTATCATGTGCATTTTTTCATTTGCCATTCACACTGTGATTGATTTGAATGAATTTGGCACTGTGAAATCTGCAAAGTCAAAAATCAAAAAGAACAATCAAAAGAACAGTGGCATTGGAGGCATGTGCAATAAAGGAGTCCAGGTGGCAGTTGGAGGTCAGAGGCTGGAAGGAACACACAGTTCTCAAAGGAAGTGGCTGAGGGGTCTGCAGAGACTCATCTGAGCCTGCGGCCGGCGGTGGGATGTTGGAGCAGCCACAGCCAAGAGGGCCGTGCTCAGAGCCGCACAGCTTTTAGTGCCCACGAGAAGGCACTGGCCCTCCTCAGGGCTGACCAAGTTCCTCGGTACTGCATCCAGCTGTGCTCCTGGCCTCATTTCTTCTCTCCTTGGTGAATTAACTCCCAGACACAGCAGCCCCTGGAGGTGGCGGGGAGTAGCCAGGGACGGGAAAGGGTCAGTCAGCCTGTGGTCAGCAGGGCAGCGGGTTCAGGCCTGGTGTTCCCAGGATACTTTGCTGGGTCATGCAGTTGTCCCCATCACGGATCACTCCAGCTCCCTGGAAGCCTGTTGCTGTTCCTGGGGGCACCCCTGGAATGAGCATAGTTCGTGGACAGGCTTCAAAACAGCCCAGAGCAAAGATGTGGCTGTGAGGGAGGGGCACGGCTCTGGGGTCTTTGCCTCCACGGTTCCCTGACTTGGTCCCGCAGTTGCCCTGGAGAGGCAGGGCCACCTCCTTGTTAAGAGCTTGCTTGTTCCTGGTGGTCTCTGTCAGGAGCCCCCGACCCCTGGCCCCAGACTCCAATACCTGTCCAGGTGTGTGAGCCCGTGTCCCTCTGGCAGCAGAGAGGCCTGTAGGAGCACAGCCCACAGGCCCCAGTGACATTTGCTGAGTGTTTATTCTATCAATGTTCTTCATTTCTGGCCTGACTTCAATCCTAGGAGGTAGGTACCATAATGAGTCCAATTCTAAAAATAATAAAATGGAACAGAGACCTGAGGAGATGGCTTCCTGATGGGGGACCAATGTCCCAATTTTAGCACCAAAGTCCTGCGACCTGGGAAGCCCTCAGTGCTGGGCAAACCCGGATTGTTGGTGCCCTGATTCAGGAACACCCAGGTAATAGGTAGAGGGCTGAATTCAAGCCTGGCTCAGCCGCGCGGAGCCTCGGCCTGCACTCTGCTTCTGAGCGGTGCCGGGAGCAGCACTGTCCAAGGAGCCGGGGTCATAAAACCCAGCTGGCGAATAGGAACCATGTTTGTATGTTCTAGAAGATGAAAGAATAGAATTGAACTGAATAACAAAGATCAGGGTACATTATGCACAATTAGGACACATGTATTTTAATGAAGAAAGTAATTAAATAAAAAAGTGTTTTATTTATGTTTATATATTTTTGCTTGTGTATATATGTGTATATAATGTTTTAGATATACAAATATATATTGTAAGTGTTTCATATTTTATTTCATATTTTATATTTATGTTTTGTTATAAATATGTTGATCAGTTATAAATGTATGTGAATAAGTTCTGTGAATGTTTTCTGTGTCAGTGTTTTGGGTGTGTATATATTTATTTAACTTTTTAAAGTGTAGATCTCAACCAGGAAAATGTGAGAGCTTCCTGTTTAGATGAAGTGGATGACCTTCCTTCCTGCCCTTATTGTATTCATGGTCCGAGAGCTGGGTGCCAGGAAGCTGCTGTGTGGGTATGTGCGCCAACCTTGGCATAGGCACGGACAGAAACACACCATGGAATTTTTCCAGTGAGGGAATCTTGGCGTGATGTCCAGAGGCCTCCCCGAGTGGTGTCCTGAATGAGTCCCACAGTCTCCGTCCCTGCACTCTTGCTATGGAATGCCAGGCTGAATTGTTGAACTGAAGATCACTGTGCTCCCACTACACTTATACCTCTGACTCTTTTTCCTTTTCACCTTGGCTGTTGGGAAGCTCAGATCCTAACTATTTGTCCCCAGGCACACGTATGGGGCCTGGCAGGTTTCTTGTTGCCCCTTGTGGCTCTGCCCAGGTCGTAATTTGCTTGCCTTTCTCCTCCCCTTGCCATGTGGAACCCTGGTTTGAGCGTCAATTCTTAGGGCCGTGGAGCTTTAAACCTTTTGACTGTTCATAGTTTTGGTGCCTTTGCTTCTTTCACGCTCCAGTTCCTGGCCCTGCCTTGGGGGCTCCATGCACAGCTCTCCCTGGGAACAGGTCGTCTCCTTGCCCTGTCTTAATCTGGGGACTGGTGTCTGGGTGTCCCCAGCGAGACCCCTCTCTGCTGCTGACAGGGCTTCCAGGAGGAACGACAGCGGCACCCCAGAGAGGCATGAGGGTGCAGAGAGAGCTGGGTCAGCAGTGGGGGCCTCACACTCTGGCTCCTCACTCCCCATGCCTGAGCAATTCATCAGGTGCTCTCCTTAGATGGACAGGTGTGTGCGATTGTGTTCCGTTTCTGACTTTGGGTTTAGTGACGTCAGTAAACGTCAGGTTTAGACCTGAATGGTCTCCCCACGGTGCACAGCCCTTCTTGTTAATGCTGCAAAATCAGTCAAACACACAGCCACAGGGAGCCCTTGAACCAGAGAGCCCAGTACTTTCATTTTGTTCTAAATGTACAGATTGTTATTATTTTCTTTTTTTTCAAGGCAACAGTGAGCAAGGATTTTGTTATCATTTTCAAACTGGCACATTTACCATGCTGACAATATTCTCTGACCCAGCACAGAAGTTCTTAACAAAAGCATCAGCGACATAGTTACACATATTAAAAGATTGAAAACCACTATTCTAATAAACCACAGTTAAAGAAGAAGTCATATTGGAAATTAAAATACCTAGAAATGATTAAAACTAAGATACTACTATCAAAACTATTGGGCTACAGCAAAAGCTGTACCTGAGGAAAAAAATCTAACTCTACATATTTGCATTGGGAAATAAGAAAGGTTAATTTTTTTTTTTTGAGATGGAGTCTTGTTCTCTTGCCCAGGCTGGAGTGCAGTGGTGCAATCTTGGCTCACTGCAACTTCTGTCCCCCGAGCTCAAGGGATTCTCCTGCCTCAGCTTCCCAAGTAGCTGTGCACTATCACGCCTGGCTACTTTTTGTATTTTTAGTAGAGACGAGGTTTCACCATGTTGCCCAGGCTGGTCTCGAACCCCTGATCCACCCTC